GGATGGATGGATGGATGGGTGGGTGAATGGGTGGGTGGATGGATGGTAGATGAATGGATGGATGGGTGGATGTATGGGTGAATGGGTGGGTGGATGGATGGATGGATGGATGGTAGATGAATGGATGGATGTATGGGTGGATGGGTGGGTGGATGGATGGATGGATGGTAGATGGCAGATGGATGGATGGATGGATGGGTGGGTGGATGGATAGCAGATGGATGGGTGGTGGAAGGTGGACAGACAACGGACACATGGATGGATAAACAGTGAATTAATGGGTGGACAGGTAGACACACAGACGGATGGTGGATGGTGGATGGTGGATGGATGCCAGTCCCATGGAAAGACTGAGTGGCTTCATGAAGCCAGTGAACACGGTAAGGAGTAGAGATTTGGACCAGGAGGATTTGGGGCATCCCACGTAAGCATGTCTCACGTCCTCCCTGTGTCCCAACTGTCTTATCTGCATTTGCCAGCAAAGTAGCAGGGCCGCTGGTGAGGGATGTGGCCACATACCCGGAGCAGTGTTGGAGGCACGTCACACAACACTGTCGTACTCGGCAGCCCCTCAAGCCAGGTCACAACGGCCATCTGACAGTAAAGGTTGTGTACACTCAAGGGGGTCCGTGACCTGGAGGGCCTCTGAGAGAGAGGGATGGCTGGGACTGGCACCTGTGCCCAGTGGCTGCAAGGCCACACTTTCCTTGAAGGCCACTTTGCAGGGCACAGCTCCTCCACCCGCCGGCCAGGTGACTGTGCACAAGACCATTCACCTCGGGGCCAGATTTCCTCATCTATCGTGTAAGCAAAACCAAAGCTTCCTCCCCAGGAGCCCAGCCTATGGCCAGGGCCAAGCACAACTCAGGGAAGAGTCCTTCAGGCCAGTGAGAGGGGCAGGGGGTCAGGAGTGGGAACCCGACCCCAGGCCCACCCTCTCTGCAGCTCATTCTGGAACCTCAATCGATTTCCACAAGGGTCATTTCACCACTGCAAAACAGGACGGGGAAATTCATTTCTTTTTAGGAGTGTTCTGGGAAATGAAGCAATTAGCACGATCTTAACCCTATGTGTACTGTCGATCACAATTCAATTACGGGTTTAGCCACAGCGCAGGCAGACAGCCACTCGGTAGAAAGAGCCCATGGCTGGGAAGGTGGCGGCCCACTGGCAAGCCTGTGGGTCTCGGCTCTGCAGGATGGCAGCATCCATCCATCCACCCATCCATCCATCCATCTACCATCGGAGGGTGCTGGGTGGCCCCGAGCCTGGGCCCTCTTCTAAGCTTCCCATCATCACAGCCTTCTGAGCGAGGCCATCAGCTGGGGAGCCCAAACCTAGGCTCTACCCTAAAGCCGAGACGTCAAGGTCACGAAACAAAGGCTGCAGGCTCCAAGGGCCTCGGTCACACTGCTTCCCTGTCCAGATTTCCAGTTTCCACCTCAGCCCTGTCAGAGGCCCGGCACAGGCCATCGCACCCAACCTCCAGCTTGGTCACCAAGGCCTCCCTCATAGGGAGGCTTGTCGGGAGGCCCTGAGCCTGGCCCTGGGTGCACCTGGACTCTGGGACTCGTAGGAGCCTTTCTAAGGTGACTCGGTCTCCCCATGCTATATGTGAGCACCCTTGCCGGTAACCCTACTTTGAGGACTGGGGAGACAGGGAGGCCAAGTCACCAAGAGGTCAAGGATCTCTCCCGAGGACACGAGACTAATCAACGTTGGCGCCAGTAATCACGCCCGAGTCTGGGCTGGCCTGCCCCAGGCCACTACCCAGCCAGACCTCACTGCTTTGGGGCACCCTGGCAGTCACGACACCCGGAAGTCTGTACACGGGGGTGTCACCCACATGGGCAGGACTCACGGACATGCACTCCATCACTCGATCTCCTCCCACGCACGGCCACGGCTGGCCTAGGGACCCAGTGTCCCTCAGCAAAGGAGCGGGCAGGGAGGGGTGCTGTGGAGCAGGTGTTCCACGGCCCCACATGCTTCTGCTGGTCTCTGCCAGGTCCGAGGACTGCAGGAACCCGGTGGGACAACAGGGATGCCGTGAGGGGCTGCCCTCAGGAGGGAAAGAGACTATGGGGAGGGGCTGGTGAGCTTGGGGCTGCAGACCCCTCCCGGACCCCCAGGCAGCAGCCCCCTGCAAGCCCCCACCTACGCCCCCCCACCCACAGCGCCAGGGACGAGTGGGGAGGTGGGGCCCTTTGGACGGCTCTCCACCCAGCGTGCCTGGCTCCGGGGTGTGTGCCTCCTGCAAGATGCTCCCAGGCGCTGAGGCCTCCTGGGGTGTCTGCACCATCTGCAGCATCGATGGGGCAACGAGACAAGGCTGGCTCTGGGGACAGAGCTGCTAACTTGCCAGGAGGGAGGGCCCGAGAGAAGAGGTGTGGACGGGCAGCCTCAAGCTGGAGGGAGCATGCAGAATGGGAACATCTGGGCACAGGCCACTGGCAGGTACGGTGTCCCTCTGGTCTCTGTGCCCAGTCTGAGCACACCTTGGTTCCTGGAGAACAAGGCCAAGGGCAAGTGGGACCCAACTCCTGGGCTCCCCTGGAGAATACGCCAGACATGTGGGCCCCCCAGGAGCCCCGGTGGGAGCCAAGTTCCAGCAGAAGCCCGGTCCTCGTTCTCGGGTGGGGGGTGCGGAGCCAGGCTGGTCACGGGCCTGAGGGAAGGTGGGCCCGCACTTGGGGGCCCAGAAGTCCCCCGGAGCTGCCCCAGGACGGCGCCCTCCAGGGACGGCAGGCGGCGCCAGCGGTGGCCCAGGAGAGCGGGAGAGTGGGCGACATGGAAAAACTCAAAACACCTTCGCTTAGTAAACGTTTAAATCATGCAATTATTTTCCTGATGGCTTCTAAAACTAGAACTCATTAAAAGCTCTCACAGAATCTTCTTTCTCCTCTCCTCCTGGCACCGCGGAGTAACAGCCTTGCACGGGGCACGGGAAAACCGCGAGGCATGTGCGTGTGCACCTGCGCACTCCCCTCGCCATCGGGAATGAGAAGCAAGAAAACACCGCAGCACTTTTTCCATCACACGAGCTCTTCTTATAATTAGGATCTTGGCAACCGTCCGCCTATGAGCACGACTGTTCCAGTTAACGGAATGCCCAGTTTCACTGATTTATTCACGGATTCATAGTCATCGGCCCCGTCAACCCCCCGCCCCTGCGTTCCGGCCGTACCGTGCCGACCTCCAGGAGGCCACCCCGGGGCTCTGCCCTGCGGAGGCCCCTCAACCCGAGCCTCCTCCCTCCTGGGCCTGCCATGTGGCCATAGCAACAAAGCAATTCCTGGGCTGGGTCAGGCGACGCCGCCCCAGAGGGGAGTGGGCAGCGCCACCTGCACAGGTTAGATCAGGTGAGGGGGGCTCGGCAGGGGGAGCCCGGGGCACACCCAGTGGTCAGGCCCGGTGGGCTGCCCAGGCCAGGAGTGGATGGACACGCGACTCAAGTCCCAGCTCCATTAGCCAGACCCGTGCCCGGCAAGCTTGCTAGGTGCTGGCCTTGGCTGGAGGCACGGCCCGTCCTGCTGGACCTCCGCGGCCGTGGGAGGCGACACGCTGCCCCACCCACCAGACAGAAGAGTGGGTCTCAGCCAGAGTTAGGTAGCGGCCCCTGGGCCCTGCACACCTCGGGGACCGCCTGCACCCTTTCCCCGCCCCAGGGAGGCTGACAGAGGGGCGGGGATTGGACTGTGCCGCGCACCAGCACAGCCCTGGCCTGAGTCAGGCAGCCCGGGCTCGAGGCCCCGCCCTGCCCCACTCGCGCTGCACGGCCGGGCCAGTGACGCGGCTTCTCTCAGCCTCCGCGTCGTCTCGGATAAAATTGGAGCAGGAGCGCTCACTCTCGCGGGGCTGTTGTGAGGGCTGACAAAGCCGCGTATTAACAGGCAACAGAGCCTCCTCGTTAAGTCCAGCCCTGCTCGGGAGGCCCGGCACGTAAACCTTGTTCATGCCTCCAGCAGCCCCCGCGCAGCCGCCCGTGCGCCATCCATCCCTCCGTCCCCCTCCATCCGTCTCCCACCCACCTGTCCCTCATCCTCCCACCCAGCCATTTGTCTGCACAACAGTTATCGTGTCGTGTGTCCTCTGTGGTTAGGACACCGCGACGGCCATGGGCTCCGTTCTCGCAAAGAGAAAAATCACAAGGCGGTCCGTGACACGGTACGTTCGAGGACGCACAGGGGAGCCCGGAATTTCAGACAGACAACACCCGCACCAAGACCGGAAGGTACAGAGCAGGAGGAAGGTGCTGGAGCGTCTAGAGGAACAGGGTCCGGGCAGGAAGGCGCCAGCGGGTTCAGAGAGCCAGGGCAGCTGGCGGAAAGGGCCGAGGGAAGTGTGTGTGCTCCCCGGGTCAGTGCCGGAGGGCCTGGGGGACCCCCAACCCACCTGCCATGCTGTTCCTAGCGGCATCCCACATGTCTGCGCCGCCGTAACCGCCTCGACCACCAGAGTCCAGGTGAGGCTGTGGGCCGTCCGCTGCGGGGTCACAGAAGCACCCCCGAGCCTCCCACTGGGGTTAACCCCTAGTCAGTTCACACCTGCCCCAGGCCCGGCAGGGTGTGAACGGGGGGTGTGAACTGGTGCACGGGCCTCCAGGAGCTCCCAGGGAGGGGTGAGGTCGGGGTTGGGGGGCATGGGGGCCAGCTGTGAGCTACACCCTGCCCACCCCCCCCCCACCGCCAGATCTGGCTCTGCCCAGGTGAGACCCCTGTAGGCAGCCCAGGGCCTCACAAAGATCCTTTGGGTTTCCTTAAGCCTTTCAACAGCCTCCCAGACCACGGTCCTGTCTTACAGAGAAAGCAAAGCTCCCAGGAGACCCCTTGGTGCTCCCATGGCCAGGCAGCGGCATGGCCGGGGCTCGAACCTGGGCCAGAACCCCACTTCCCCTCTGCCACCAAGAGCTGCCAGAGGCCAGAGGGCCCCTCCCTACATGGGGACGAGAAGTTCCGGCTACCACCACAGCAGCCCTCCAGGCTCTGCAGCGAGACTTCCCTTTCTGCCAGGACCGGCTGGCTGCCCTGCTGGTGGCAGGCCATGCTGGACCACGGGTGGGCTTGGTCGCTGCTGTGAGGACACCGGACTAGCCACCCTCCCAGGCAGCCTCATTCCCGGGAAAAAGGAGAGAGGGGCATCCTGGCCTGTGGCCTTGGAGCATGAGGCCCTGGACACATACCTTCTGCTCTTCTGGACAAGGGGCTCAGTCGAGGGTTTCAGAGGCAGCTGCCCACAGCCCATTATCTGAGGGTGTCCCCAGTGCTAGGGAATGGGCTCAGAGAGGGGACCGAAGGCTGGAAGGGATGTGAGAGGCTGCGGCCCAAGAGCCAGCTCTGCCCAGACCGGCCACGGCCTTGCCGGGCGCAATCCACTGTGGAGAACACAGGACGAGGGTCCACGGTCAGTGGGAACGGGAAGTGGGGGCTCAGCCCCGCAGGCCGGATTCCCAGGAGGCGAGTACCAAGACCACAGAGAAGAAGGAGCTGGCCGCTGGCGGGCCTCCAGCACAGCTGTGGTGGACCGACAGACCACCAAGGGCCGGCACACAGGCCTGGGGGCAAAGCTGCTCACTGCCGGTCACCGGCCAGCCCACGGTGTTGGGGGGCCGGCAGCTCTGGAGGCAGCTTAATGGGGAGCCTCTGCAGTCCTGCTTCCTCCCACCCACACCCAGTTAAAGCCTGAGCTCTGAGTGGGACGGAAACTGCCCTTCCCGCTTTACAGCAGTCCTGATACCAAGCCCCTCAGGGCCATGGGAGGTCTGGGGTCACCCAGGTCACAGCCCACCTAGGACCAGTGTCAGGCAGGGGCCCTAGGCTCAGAGTCTAGAGACCAGCTGCTTCCAAATCAGGGGCAAGGAGAAGCAGCTCCAGAGAGTCCCAGAACTAGCCTGGCAGAAGGAGGGCTGTGCCTTAAGCCCCCCGCACTCCTCGTCGGAGGGGCCCATCCTCTGACTCCTGCCCATGGCTGGACACGCCCCTCCAGATGCACCTTGCCCAGGACGAGCCAGGGCTCAGGCCACGTGGGCCCCAGGAGTTGGCCTCCCCCATCGGGAAGGGGGTGACAGTGTCTTGAGAGCCTGGCCCGGCCCCCTCCGCAGGAGCACAGCCACCCCTGGGGCAGCTGCCAGGCACTGCTCTCCACGGGTGGTGTCCCCAGAGCTCCCCCTGCACACAGGTGCTTTCCTTCCCCACTGCAGTCACACCTGCAGATAGTGTGGGATCCCGTCTAGGGCAGGGGTGTCTCAGGCGGGCCCCACAGCGTGGCCCTGCCGCCCTCCTCCCAACCCTCCAGGCACTCAGGCAGCTCTCACGGAAGTAGCCCGGCACGTCCCACAGGAGGGAAGCTGAGACCCAGGGAGGGCCTGCGTCTGCCCTAGGCCACTCCTGCTAGTACTTGTGGACGGGAGGGTAAGCCTGCAGCGTCCAGGCCCACGAAGCCAGGGATCAGGACAGAGGACGGCTGAGGGGAGGCCGGGGGTCAGCTGTGCCAATGCAGCCTGTAAGCAGCCCAGCCGCGCAGGTCAGAGCAGGGCGGAGCGGGGCGGAGCGGGGCGGAGCGGGGCGGAGCGGGGCGGAGCGGGGCGGAGCGGGGCGGAGCGGGGCGGAGCGGGGCTGGTCAGGTGGAGCTGGACAAGCCGGAGGTGAGTGGGGGGGCAGAGCTGGGGGGCGGAGGGTTAGTAGGGGTGGGACCAGGGTGGGCGGAGCGGGGGTGTGGTGCAAATAAGCAGGGCGGAGCTAGGCTGAGCTGGGCACGGTCGGGCAACAGAGCAGGGCGGGGCGGGGCTGAGCTGGGTGGAGCTGGGCTGAGGGGGGCGGGCCGGGCCGCGGCGGGGCGGGGCGGAGTGACCCGTCCACAGGGCCCAGCGGCTCCGCAGGAGGAGCGCAAGCCGAAGAGCACGATGGAAGCGAGGGGCGGAAGGGCAGCACGTCCAGCTTTGCGGGCCCGGGGTTTGAGCACGGGCACGGGCACAGAAACCCCGCGTGGGGGCCCGGTTCTGGTGGACAGAAAGCAACAGCCAGCAGCCAGAGGAAGGGACAAAGGGAAGGAGGTGGGGGCAGACCGCGCCCGTGGTAAGCAGCCTGCTCCGTTGCACAGGGAGGCCGTGTGAGCCGCCCACAGACGTCCCGAAGCGGCGGCCACACCCCTCCGCTGTCCTCTGTAGCTCTGGACAGACAGCGCCGGAGACCCTGAGCAGCTGGGCTCTGGGCCGGCCGTGGGGGCCTGGGGCAGCCCACCTGTCCCCCGGGGTCCAGCCTGTCCCGGCGGGCACTGCGGGCCCCTCCCTCCCTGTTTGCCCTGCAAGCCTCTGTCACCAGGGCCAGCCATGCAGTCTGGGAGACAGACCCACAGACAAGGGCTGACAACGCGTCCACATCCCCCCTGTGCCACGCGTGGAGACTCTAGCTTCCGCAAGCCTAGCCACAGTGGTCCCCTCTGCTGACCACCCCAAGGCTCTGAGGGCCACAAAGGGACTGGCTGAATTCAGGCAGCTCCCACACTACCCCAGGTCCTCGGGGGGCCCGGGCCCCAGGCCCCTCCCTCTCAGCTAAGGTGGGCTGATGAGCCCTGGTAAAACCCACCCTCTGCCTAGTGACCATACAGAGAACTAGAGCAGGGCCCAGGCCTGGGCTGCCCAATGCAGGAGGTACCCTACTCAGGGGCTCCTCGGAACCCCAAACTGGAGGCCTCCCCTTCATGTTTGCTCTCAGAGGTGGGTGCTCACCTGCTCAGGGGTTCCTGGCCTCTCCCAGGGGCAGCCCTTGCCCCGCCCATGTCCTTATGCCCAGGGCCCTGCCCTCAGCTCCCAGAACCCGGACAAGGCCCCCTCCTCAAGCACAGCATGGCCCCCCACCCCCACCCGGCTGCCCAGCCTCCTAACCTCTGCCCCTTCTCCCCACTACCCACAGACAGTGCACTGGAGAGGCCGCTGGGCCCTTCCTACAGGGACCCGAGTTCTCGAGCCAAGTAAGTCTCCCCGCCTCTCAGGACCCCAGCACCCCGCGTCTTCAGGGGCAATCGCGCTCGGATCCCTTTCTCAGCTGCTGGTGGAAAGCCGGTCTTGCTGTGCCAGCAGACAGGGCTCCCCGTGTGTGTGCGCTTGGTCCTTCTCTGGATGTCTCAGCAGAGCGGAGCCCCCGTGGCCCCATGCCGCCTCCTGCCCAGGCCACAAGCCGGTGGACCTTCCCCTCCGGGAAGCAGGACAGTGCGAAGGGACAGGTCCTCACGGAGGCAGAGGCTGAAGTGGGGAGGGGGCCCCAGAAGTAAGGGGGCTGAGCTCCGCCTCCCTAGGGGGGGCATCCACCTTCTCCACGGTGGACAGCAAACACAGCAACAGGTTCTGTGCCTCTGACTCAGTTTGCCAACTTGCCCAGGTTCTTGTTTTTCTAGAAGAAGCTACTTTCAGAGAATATGCATCCAGAAACGGAGCCTCTGGAAGCAGCTCCAACGTCCCAGGCAGAGGCAGAGACGGAGGCCGGCGGGGGGAGAGAACGCACCACATCTGCATGCGGGGGCTCGGGGGCCTCAGCCCCACTGTCTGCGGAGCCAGCGTCCCTGCTGCGCTCCCGATGCACTTCCAGCACCCCGGGACAAGAGGCCAGTGGCACCGTCACTCACACAGTCCCACGGCCCACGCACACCCCGCCGGCCGGTCCTCACCTCGATCCGCAGGACGGCTTCCTCCCGCAGCCGGATGGCCTCCAGGTCCTCCTCCGTGATCTCCGAAAGTAGCGCCTGCTCCTGGCCCTGCCACATGCCGTCACTCCCATTAAAGATCTTTTCATCATCAGGCAGCTCAGCAAAAGGGGCCCGGGGACTCTGCTGGCAATAGAGACAGACCAGTTAGCGCGGGTGTGCCGGGCTGCCCACCAGGCTCAGGCCACAGCTGCTCCTCGGGCTCACGGCTTTGGGCACCAGGGGCCTCCAGGGGTCTGCAAGGCCCCCAGCCCACACTCTCGGAGGGGAGAGGACCCACAGCCACGGGGCCTTGCCACGTGGGGCCACTAAAGGGACCAGGGTCCAACAGACGCCCCGAGCCCACCTCGGGCCATCCCAGGCCTGGCTTCGGGACGCACTCAGCAGCCCCCCGCTCCCCCCCACAGCCCTGCTGGAGTTGACTCCTCATGTCCCCAGCTCCTGGTGACACCCAAGAAATGCCCCTTCACACATGGACACAAACGCAGCTCCTCACAGGGCTGTGAGCCCACCACAAGTCCACTCTGGGGGCGGCCACAGGTCACGGTCAAGGTCTAGCCACCAGGCAGGGGCTGTGGAAACGGAGGTGTGGCCACCCACACAGCAGGGCACACATGCCACGGGGGACGGTGTGTCCCGCACACACCTTCACGGAGACTGGACCCTGGGGGAGGGATGCCAGGGGCCTTTTATGTCTTTCCATTCTGTGTCGACTGCTTTTATTTACCTGATCTTGGAATTCAATAAAATGTGGCTTTTTCCTTCAATTAACGATCTGCTCTCTGATAGGACTCTGAGTGCAAGTGAGTGGACGTGCAGGGCTGCCTGTGGGGGGCTGTCTCCGCACTGGGCACCCCACAGGGGTGAGGGAGGGTGGGAGGCAGGACCGGGTCCCACTCTGGAGCCGTGGCTTCACCCGGAAAACGTGCAACAGCAAAGACGACCGCCATGCCCGCCTCAGCCCCTCCCCCATCAGAAAGCCAAGCCCCGGCTCGCAGCCGCTCCCCACCCCCAGGTCAGCCGAGCTCGGCTTCACATCAGGGCTGGGTGTGTGTGGGTGTGTAGCTACACACGTGTACATGTGTGAGTGTGTGTGTGTCTGTAAGAGAAGGGGATAGGCATCACGAATGGCTGGAGGATGGGTTGAGCCACCTGGAGACCCCAGGCTCCGTGCCTCCCAGTATGGCCAAGCTCCTCCCACCAGCTGTCTCTGACACCTCCGACCACCCTGCAAAGAGCCCAGAGCCCATTTTACAGATAAGGACATTGAGGCCAAAAGGCCAAGGAACCCAGAACAGGCAGAATGTGAAGCTGGGGCTCCAGGTTCCAATTCCAACACAGAGGAGCTCCAGGGCAAGAAGCCACAAAGACAGTGCACCTGAGACCAGGGGTGTGGAAGGGGCTGCCCTGGCCCCCTGGTTGGAGCAGCTTCCTCCCCAGCTGACCCTGTGCCCCGGGCTGCACCCGGGCCTCCTCGGCAGCTCTCCTGCCCTCACTCCGGCCCCAGGTGCTGGCTCTGAGCATAACACCCTCCCCCATCCAGAGCACACGCTGACACAGGGACAGAGGACAGGGGACATGTGACCCCCGGTCTCCCAATGCCAGCCCGAACCCTGGTCGAGCCCCCTCCGTGTGTCTGGGCAATGGGCCGGGACTGAAATGCAGGACTGGCCTTCCCTCACAGAGCCTCCCTCCACAGGCTCTGTGTCTCTAGGACACCCCACACTGGGCAGTCCAAAAGGGGGCTCTGGAGACTACCACCGGCCTGTCCACTCTCTTCCCTTCGTGACAAGACCACCTTCCCACCCCACCCCCATGCCACTTGAGGCCACAGGGAAGGGTGCTGGCCAGGGCAGGGCCCAGCATGGCCCCCCGCCAGGCAGCCGTCACATGGCCTCGGCAGTGGGGAGAGCACCACCCCCCACACACACTCTCCCGGCCCCTGCTGGCCCACCCTGCGCCAGCCCCGGGGTACAGCCGCAGACAGCCCCGTGTGCTGACCGGCTTGGCTGGGCACAGAAACCAACAAGTCACAGAGACAACGAATTCAGCCCAGTTTGGACAAAGGCCTGCGGAAGGCCCTATGCCCATGCGAGGGCCAGCCCCGGGAGCCACAGCAGGGACAAGGCGGGAGGCCAGGGCTCCTCTCTCCAGTGGGGCTCACGACCTGTAAGGTGGGCATGCTCACACTGCGGTAAAGAGGGCGCGGTGCAGGTGCCCCAGGGGCATAGAGAGGCCCCCACTAAACCCAGCTCTGCTTCCAAAGCCAACGTTCTGCCCCCACACCACGCTACAGCGGGCGGAACCTCTTCCCCCAGCGTTGGCAGAGGCCTTTACAGAAATAAATACGCGGAGAAATGAACATAAAATAAAAGATCTACAAAATCTGTTGACAAGCGCTACTGGTCCAAGGTGGCAATTACCACCTCCCCTTCCCGGTGTGGGCGGACGGCAGCGGAGGGGCTGGCACGGAGCCGAGCCATGGCTTCTGGCCCAGCACAGCAGGCTCGGGGCCTCACTGTCCTGGGGACAAGGGCCCCACAGCCCCAGGTGCTCAGCACACCGCTGTGCCACTGGTCAGACCCGTCCGGCGTCCCTTCTGGGCGCTGCCAGGCACCCTCGCTCCTGCCAAAAGGGACCGAGTGGGGGTCTCCTCGCTGAGCACTCACACCCCGGCCCAGATGGCAAGGCCCAGGGCGCTCGCTGGCTGTGCCACCTGGCAGGTTCCCCAGCCTCCCCCAGCCCCCGGCACCCTCGCCCAGAGCCAGGGAAAGGAGCGAGAGGAGGAACCACCTCGCTGTGTCAGCAGGTGCACGTGAAGATGACGCGTCAGCAGAAGCCAAAGGGGAAGCCGAGGGACCGCGCTGCCCCCAGAGAGGGGCGTGAGTGCCACCTCTCCCAGGGGCCTAGCCCGGCTCATTGGCTCCAGTGGGAATGCCGCCTGGGCACGGCGTTCAGAAAGCCTCCCAGGTCTGCCCAACAGTCCCCGAGGGCCCCTCGTCTGTGCACCCGGGGCCTAAAGACAGGAAGGCTTCCCGCAAGCACGTACCCTGGGAGGAGGGGCTGGAAAACCACCATGACGCCTACAGACCAACTGGCAGAAGCACTCAGATGTGCCTGACACCACAGCCACCTTCCCTGGAGGCAGTCCAGCAGCTGGAGACAAAGGGGGCCTGCATGTCCTCACCTGCACAGGTACGGCCCGCCCCTCCCCCAGCAGCTCACGGCAAAACAGAAGACAGGGCAGCAAGAAATGGCTGGGACACCTGATCTCCCGAGAGCACCAGAAAGCGCCCCTTTATTCTCCTTACAAAGGCCCAGTTTGGGGATTAGGGATTTGCTGGCAAGGCGCTGGGGCCGGTGCGGAGGAGACAGCCCTGTGATGGTTTTCCAGCACAAGAGGCCGCCAACAAAGACGGCTTTCTCCTCCCTCCAAGGCCGATGGTTTGGGTCCCACTCTGTAAGGAAGAAATGCACAAACCAACGTGACCGCTGGACCGCCGGGCTGAGAGCGCTTTCCCGTGAGAAGAGCAAGGCGGGAGGAGGCACACAGGCTCCCTGGGTTCCTGGGGACTCTGGGAAAGGGGCCCCTTTCCCGCACACTCCAACCCGGGGCTCTGCGCAGGAACGTCCGTGACCCTGGTGGGAGGGCAGGGGTCAGGGCGCGAGCCAGTCACGGGCTTGGGAAAACTGCTTTTGTTCAGTGGCCCAAGGCTGGCCATCAATTTCTCCAAGTAATAAATGACGCAGTTTGTTAGTAGGTGGAAGTGCCTGGAGACGTGTCAAAGCCCAGAATGTCAGAACCGGCATGACCACGGCAATCCTTCCCCCGACACCCACCCGAAACAGCAGCACTGGGGCCCAGAGGCCAGGGGCACCCAGTAGGATTTCCAGCCAACACACGGCGGTGTGGAGGAAACATACGCCAAGCAGGCTGACGGCAGCACAGACCGTGGACTGTCCCCAGCGAGGGCCAGGAGCTGGCCCAGACACACCCAGCGCCACCCACTGGCTCCGCTTGACCAGGTCTGAGACGGACCGTGGACCCGACCTGGAGGGCGGATGCCAGACGGCTGACCTGCTCCCAGCCATGGCCGGCACTTGGCTCAGACGGGAGAAGGTGGTCAATGGGCACCCCTCACTCCGGCCAGGACCGCTGGGCCTGCAGACGGCGCCCCGAAGTCTGCGAGATCAGTGTCGCAGCCACGCCTGTGTTAAATAGGGTAGTATGTCATCTCCCTGTTCGCGGTTTGCAGAATTCCTGGAAATAAACTCATCTCTCATAGTTTCTCAGAAACACTGCTGACCGTTCTCTTCCTTTTTTAAAAAAATGTGGCTGAAAGGCAGCACATCTGCAGTCCAGTAATCAGACGTGCACGGTCTGAATTCTTACAGAAAAAAGACCTCAGGCATGACACAGAACCTCACCAGGACCCTGCCACGCCCCTCCAGCCCCCCGCCATCACGCTGCCTCCAAGCAAGGGGAATGGTCTGGCTTCTAACATGCCCATCACCGTGGCCTGGTTTTGACCTCCCTCTGCTCCGGTTTCGGGCTTCTCTGGCTCGACACTCTGAGATCACACGGCGGGCCCCACTGGCGACAGCTGGCTCTTCCTGGCGCTACAGCCTCCATGCGGGAATCCAGCACGAGGGATCTGGCCACTGCCCCGCGGGCTGGCTGTCTTCACAGCACTATGAGCCACCTTCGGTGTGACTTCGGGTGAACACACAGGTGCCTCTCCACGCTGTGCACTTGGGGGAGGACCGCGAAGTCCCAGGAAAAAGAATGCGTGAACCCAGGAAGCACTTCAGGGTCCGGAGGGGCAGCATCTGTGTGCCTCCGTCGGCACAGCCTCCCGGCTCTCGCGAGCACCACGTGAGTGCTCTGGTGGGTGCGAGGGGAGGGGCCAGGACTGAGCTCCCTGGGCTCCCTCGGCCGCTTCTGATGACACCCACTGAGCACACGTCCGTGCACTCTGACCATGTGGATGTCCCCTTTTGTGACATGTCTGTGCGCTACCGGCCACATGGATGTCCCCTTTTGTGACCTGCCTAAGGATTCTGCCCTTCCATGATTTTGAAATGGGTTATCTGCCTCTTTCTTATTGATTTCTCAGAGATCTTCATATATTACGGACATCGGGGCTTCCCAGACACGCGTACGTGAATACCGTCTCTTGCGCTGTGGGTTCCTCTTCCGCTCGCTGAAGGGTATGTTGATTTAAGGACGTCAAGCTGATCTGCTTTATACTTGGTACCTTTTCATCTGTGCAAGAAATGTTCGCTCACCATGAAGACGTGCAGACAGACTCCCACGGTGTCTTCTAGAAGCTTCACTGCTTTCTCTCTCACATGTAGATCCATGTTCTAACTCAAGTCCTCCTTGCACACGGGGGGCGGGTTTCGGGGAAGGATCTGCTGGCAAAGACAGCCTTGTGCCTGCGCCCTCCTGGCCCCTCTCAGCCACATAAGAACGGACCACGGCCTGGAGCACTTCCCCACCAAGAGACAGAGCCTTCCCAGCTGTGCTGCACTTGCTGGCTCGTGAGACAACGTCTTTCCCTGTTTCAGAGGCGATGCAGACTCTTTTGTTCTGTGAAAGCACGTGCATCCTGTGGCACCTGGCCAAGCCCACTGCTGCGTCTGTCCCCTGCGGGGGGTGGGGGGAGACGGGGTCCCTCTGCGGCCACATGGGCATGCGTGCAAGCCGGTCAACCGTTAGGAGGGGCCTGCTGGCCGCAGGGGACCACGCCCACCGTGGAAGCTGACCCTGCTGGCTCTTCTCTGCACAGGCAATACCAAGACGCAAGGCCCGGGGTGTCTGGACGCAGACTTGCCTGTTGCCCAACAGGATCCCTTTTCCCAGCTCAAAACCCCGGCAGCCCGGCATCGAACCCCAACAGACCCCCATTCCCTACCGCACGGCTGGGGAAGGCCTCTCCCGGGTCGGGTGCTCTCACAAGTGGGACCACTGTTTACATTTCTTCGTGCGCTGTGCTGCTGGCACGGTGTCCCCTGGGACGCAGACCCTGTCACCGTCGCTTCTCAGCTCTCACCACAGGCTCGCCCACCTTTCCCAGCAACGCAGTCGCGCTGTCTCTGCAGGGCCTGCTTCCTCCCCGGTTCCTCTTACACCTGTCGCTTCTGCTTCACGTCTCAGTGCAGTGGACACGCTCTCCAGCGCAGCGGGGAGAACGGGACCAGACCCCGTGTCTCGCCCTCGGTCTCAGGAGGGACGTTTTTCACGTCTCAGCAGCCAGTACGGTACTAACCGCAGGGCTTTGGAAGCCGCCCACTGTGAGATTAAAGGCTCTTCCATCCCCAGCCCACTGAGAGCTCTGCCCCTGCCCGCAGGGGGTGCACACGTTCACCAAGGGCTTGTCCCTCCCCACCGCGGTCTTGCTCCAAGGACATGATGGCCTATGTGGGTTATTCCCGAAAGTAAACCAACTCCACACCCCAGAGTAAGCCCCGCTTTAGGACAATGTTATCACCCTTTTACATACTGTCAGATCAAGCCCGCTGGTGGTGTGGTTAGGGTCTTTGCTCCTATGCTCATGAGAGAATGTTCCCTTCCTTTTTGTGACGCCGTCGTAGGAATGTGGCATCACAGCTACTGCCTCGCCAAGCTAGGTGACACGTGTCCGCCTCTCTGCATTTTACGTAAGACTCTATGCGAACTAGTAATATTTATTCCTCAAACATCTGGAAAAACTCACCAGTAAAATCACTGAGGTCTTGAATTTACTTGGTAGCATTTTAACAATGGAAATTGCGGAACTGTTTATTTCATTTCTGTAATAAATACCGGACTTTCCAGACTTTTGGTACGTCTTGGTAACTTACATTTTTTTCTAAAAAAAAAAAAAAAAAAATTCAGGTGTCCTGCCTGAGCGGGCAAGTTTATTGACATAAAGTCGTGTCACGGCATCTTCAAACCTCTATCGGCCGAGTGCGTGGGGTCCACAATCCAGCTGTTGTCATTCCTGATGCCAGTAATTTGAATGTTCTGTTTCGTGACTCATGCTCTGGGACTCACTATTAATCCTTCTAAACAAAACAAACTCTGGCTCTGCTGGAGTTGTCCAATATGCATCAATTTTATATTTCATGGATTTCTGCTTTTTCCAGTATATTTTCTCAGAATTCAGTTTGGTGCTGCTTTTCCAGCTTCTTGAGACTGAGACCGACCCCGCGATTTTCAGCTTCTTCTCCAGAGGGAGGCACCCAGAGCTCTCCTCCAGCCGCACCCCAAGTCTGGGTGTGCCGCCTGCTCTGCTGTTCCCGTCACGAGGGCTCCAGTCTCCACCGTGATTTCTTCTCTGTTCACGGGTTCCTTCGAATCGTGTTCTTCTCACTCCCATGCCGGGAAACTGCCTCTTTGGTACCAAGTGGGAACTGAACTGCGCTGACCCGAGAACTTACTGGGGGTCGCACCCACCCTCTGGAGCCCGCGGAGGCCGGCGTCCGAGTCTGGCGCGCACCGCACCCCCGGCGGGGACGCCCGCTCTCCCGTGGCTGCTCACCGCATCGCGAGCCGCCATCTGGCAAGAGCGTGTTCATCAGTCGCACTGGCCGAGTCTCTCGGATCCTCCCCCATTTTCCCATTTCCTTCCTCTGCCATCTCCATGGGTGTGTCCCCACCTCTGGCTGCAGATTTGCCGTTTCTCCTTTTATTACCGTCAGTTTTGTCCCGCATCTTCTGAGGCTCCGTGGTCAGCACGCAGGGAGCCCTGCGTCCGGACGACCGCGCTGTCCTGTGAGCCGGGGACGGCCTCCACGCGGGCTTGCGTGCTCTGGCACAGCCGTGGGCACCAATCTCCCTCGTGGGTGGCTTCACAGTGTGTCTCTGTCCAACCTCTAACTCCCGGCACATTTCTGGATTTCTATTTAACCGAGTCTGACAGTCTGTGCCTTTCCGTCAGTGGGGTCAGGCCACGCTCATGGAGTCACAAACAATCTGGTATAAATCTGCCCTCTTACAACTTGTTTCCCGTTTTCTGTCCTTTCATTTTTCCTTTTATTGGCGGGGGGGGGGGAGCTTTCTTTTAAATTAGCCAGGTTTGACTTATTCTCTCACGTATGCATTAGCTTACTGTGTAACACATTCTCATGTCGTCCTTCAGTGTCCCCTGCACAAGACGAGATGCCCCACGGCTCCCGTCACCTCCCGAGGACACGGCAGGCTCCCACGCGGCTCACTCCCGTGCTCCGGCCAGCCGGGCTCTTGGACCCACCCCGGCATCCGGGCCCCACAGGGAGGGAGCAGCGCTCAACGGCCACCTGAAGTCAGACGTGTCCGCACATCAGCGCTTCTGGGACGCGCAGCCCCTTCCCGCGCTCCTGTCAGATTCCGTCAATGGCGAGTTTCCTCGCTTTACGCTTCTCTAAAAATGTTTTCCTTCTAGCCTCATTTCTGAAAAATGTTTTCAGCAGGTGGAGGACCCCACGTGAGCAGTGCCCTCTCAGTGTTTTAAAGACGCCTCAGGTTGCCGTCCGGCGCCCAAGGGCCCACCTCAGACGCCAGGTGTGAGTCTCCTCACTCCTTGAAAAATGACAGGACTTCTCTTCTCGGGTTTTAATCTGCTTTTAGGCCTTTTAGTCTTTGGTTTTCAAAACCGTATTACGACATGAGCTGGTAACAGAGGTCTTCAAGCTGTGGCCTGAGCTGCCCGGACAGCCCTGGAAACCCTCAGCTGTTGCGCCGCCTGACGCTGTTTCCGCCCCTCTCCGCCCTGCTCGTGCAGGAGGCCGGGCGTGCTCGCACCCCCACTGTTTCTATCACGTTCTGCTCCCAGGAGCGCTGGTTGGGTCCAAGTCAGTCTGTGGGGCATGCGAAACCGTCCACACTCAGGACTGTCTTGGCCCATGCTGGGGAACGAAGGTCAAAATGCTGGTTTTGGAGAAAGGTTCTTCATCGAGTAAGACCCCCTTGGATGGGGCCCTCCGTGCGTCCCACTCCCCCACAGGCACAAAGGGCCCCGGGCGCCATGTCATCGTCACCTTACGTCCGGATCTCGGTGATCACTCGGCACCTACCTGCTGTTTGCTGCCCCGCTGTGCCGTGGGAAGCAGGGCTCGGGACTTCTCGGCGATTTTCTGTGAAACAATGGAGGGAGACAGAAGAACAGAGGATGTGGGGAGGAGGGAAGGAGGAGTCAGATAAGCTCAAGGTCGTGGACAAGGCCTAGAGCAGAGCCCGCCTTCAGCTCCGCGGCAGGTCGGCCCCTCCCCCACATGGAAACCCTCACCTGTCAGACAGGGGTGCCCGCTCTCCCCACCTGCCAGGGGCCCCCTGAGCAGCACCCACAGGTGAGTCTCCTTCCAGCACATGCCCTGAGGCTGTGGCAACTGGCCATGGGCGGCCGTCTGCAGGTCCCGCCCATCCTCTGCTCTCGAGGACAGGACCCCCACCAGGCCAACCCAGGCCAACCCAGGGACGAGACGGTGGGCGAGGGAACCACAAGGCCCGAGGCGCCCCGGCCGGCCCACACGCCCTCCCGGGCAGCCGCACCTTCTGCACCCCCCCGTAGCGCTGCACCGCGTCGGACAGCTGAGTCTTCAGACGGTCCAGCTGGAGACACTCCTGCTGCAAAGAGAGAACGTGGGCTGTGTAGACAGCCGAGGCCCCGTCCCACCCCATGGCCTCCCCCGTCCCTGGGGCGCTCCAGTCCCCCACACTCCCCATCCTCCCCAGCCCCCAGGGGACGCCCCTTTCCTCTCCCGATCACAGCCACATGGGGGTGGAGCCAGGCCACGAAGCCAGGCCGCTGACCCCGGGGCCTTACAGCCAATCCAGCACCAGGCTGGGTCTCACCCCCAGGGTCAGAACCACACTCATCAAACCTCCCTCCTACCGCCAGGCACTCTGCAGCGTACACGGCCCCACACTGCACGTCTTGGTCGCCAACACACCCCGGTGCCCCAGATCACACTGGGCACAGACCTGCCACGCAAGGGGATGGACGAGCGAAACACGAAACCCAGTGCTGCCTGCTTGGGTTAGTGTGAACACCGCCAAGCTGCTGGGACCCAACACTCCTGTGTCTCCACGCCGTACCGGCCACACAAAGACACGCCAAAGCCCTGTGGCCTTGCACGAGGACCATGACGGCGACTCCTGGGCCCTCCTGCCTCATCAGCCCCAGGAGAGGCAGACCCTGCATCGCAAGTCACAGACAGCCACCCCTGCCGGGGGCTCCTCTCGACCTCCAACCAGAACCCGGCCCTAAGCTTGGTGCCCGCCCTGCCCTCACCGCCACGCAGCATGGGAGTCCACGCAGGAGAGTAAGCTGGCCACGGTTTGGGGGCCCCAGCTTTCCGATGGGCACTTTTCGGAGGGACTCAACATGGTCCCTGTCAGGCTGTAGGTCTGAGGAGCCCGTTTTAGTGTCCGGGGCAGACTCTTGTGAGGGGCACCCTGTGTGTGTCCCAGGACAGAGCCAAGAGCCCACAGACTCCTCAGTGGTCTCTGGCTGTGTGATCCGGCATCAGCCCCATGTGATGGGCACAGCCTTTCTTCTGTGGAAACAGGGAGCAACGCCAGCCCCTCCCGGCCAGGCTGTCCGACCACGGAACAATGAGAGCCTCATCCGCGCCCTTCACCCAGCATCTGGCACACAGTAGGTGTTCAGTGTTTGCTGGGTTCTTAGATGGGTGACGGATGGGCAGGTGGGTGGCCCCGTGGGCAGGCGGACAGACAAAAGGACACATTAGGCTAAAGGTGACCCCCCACCTGCCAGGAACTCAAGCTTGGGGTCTCAGCCTTCGTGGTGCGCACAGGTGACAACGTGGACTGTGGACCCAGAGAAACCAGAGCGGCCATCTAGCCGAGACCCCTGCCCAGAGCAGATGCTTGGCACAGGACACTCTCCGGGCCTCAGCGTCCCTCCAGATAAAAGGCCCAAGGACGCCCATGGCAGGACGGCCAGGAGTCCCCAGCGTGAACAATGTGCACAGGGCCGCCCACGGGACGTGCCTGACACACGCTCTGGAACGAGTCAGCACACGCATGGCGTGGCACCCACGGAGCCCAAGAGCGCGGAGCACGGCCGCGCGCGAGAAGGCAGCAGGCCTGCACCAACCCCGCGGAGCAGTGTGGACACCGGTGCGGGCAGCCACCACGATTTCCAGCAGCGCCCACGACCACGACCACGTCCACGACCAGTTGTCCCGAACCACTGGGGGCCGTGCCTAAGTCGTGCTGAGCAGAGCGCCGCAGGCCCTGTAGCCAGAGATGGCCGCACACGCAGCCCACCCCGCCACGGACGGTGGACCCTCGCTCCCCAGACGTGCCTCTGGTACCGAAGCCCAACTGGCCCTTTGTCTCTGGGCCTCCGTTTCTGTGAGAGGCTGACTTAACTCTCATAAGGACAATGCACTCATTTTAACTCAAAGCTCTGTAACTGCTCGCTGTGCCGTGACCACCAGCTGGTTTCGGAACATGTCCACCGGCCCGAAAAGCTTGTCGGGACCCCCTGCAGCCCACCCCAGCTCCCCGCAGCAGCCACACAAGCCTCGGCCCCGCCGTCGGCACAGGCCTGTGTTTCCAAACACCCCAGATGTACGGGGCCACACGGCACGTGGCATCAGCAGCCTCTCGCCCGTGGACTGCTGGGGTCACTGGGTGGCAGCCACAGCAGCTTCTCAGGCCCATCACAGAGGCTGTCGTGCACCCTCCCAACCACGGCCAGGCCGCTGTCTGCATCCCAGGCATCTGCATCCCCCGATCTCCCTAGGGGCCCCCCAGCCCCCCACAGCCTCCAGGGCCACGTACCCGGGAGCAGCCGTGCAGGAGCTCCATCATCTGCCTCACGGTGCCGGTCCCGGCCGCGATGCTCTTGTTCGCCTCCTGCTGCGTCACGTGCCTGAGGCCGGGGGTCGGGGGAAGCCAGAGAAGACAGCGTGGATGGAGAGGGCAGAGCGGGCGGCCACAAGGTGACCGGACAGATGACAGCAGGTGCAGGGCATCAGGTGAAGCCGCACATGGCGGTGGAGGAAACAGGAGCAGGGGAACCGGGCGCAGAGAGCAGAGCCGGAGACACGGGAGGGGACGAAGGCCAGAGGCCCAGACACAGAGAAGGCAGCGACAGGGGCGAGGAAGGAGGGAGAGAATGACAGAGCTGAGCTCAGATCGGGGAGGATGGCCCGCCGCGCCCGTCACACCCGAGCCGCCGTGGTCAGGACCCCCACCCCGTACACAAACCGTGTGTGCGCTGCCGCGGCCTGGGCCCTCTGATCTGGTCTGAGGGTCAGCGCAGCACCTCCTTGGGAGCCCGGACCCCCTGGCGTCAGCAAGCAACCCGGGCACCACAGCCTCCGAGGGCTGGAAGGACGGTCCCACCTCCAGACCCAAGAGCCCCAGGGGCTGCGCCCACGTGTGCAGTCTGTGGTTCTGTGTGTGACCTCGAAGGGACTGAAAAGACCAGATCCTCACCAGCTTGGGGGTGACCACAGCCTCCCTGGACGGGGCGACACTAGGAGCAAACCCTGCCCTCAGGCCTTAGAAAAGCAGTCGGATGCCCCCTTCACTCCCTGAAGGGCCCCAAGTGGCAGAGGTGGGGGCACCGTCTGACCTGGGCCTGGGTCCCTGACACCTGCCTGGGCCACACAGAGCGTGCAGCATGGAGCTGGGGCTTGGGGGGCGCAGGGGTGGCAGGATGGAAAGGACCCCCCAAGCCAGCCGGGGAGAGCACCCCTGAGGACGGCAGCACGTACGACCTTCCCAGCAGGCCAACAGATTCTGGGAACCCGCGGAACATGGCTTCTCCCCTCAGCCTCACTCACCTCGTTGCACACCACTGAGCCCCCCTTCCCCCCATTCTCCCTGCTGCAACCTCCCACCCCGTGGCCCACAGTCTGCCCTCCTAGTGTCTCCACCCCCAGCTTGGGGCCACGCTGCTCAGGGGGCTTTGCGGGATCCTCGCCTCCCTGACCTGCTCTGTCTGCGCCCCGAGCTCAGGCCCTGGAACCCCCTTGTGGCACCCCGTGCTCACCTCCTGGGTGCTCTCCTTTAGTCCCGTGGCCTGAAGTCACCTGTGTGCCACTGTCCCCCACACACGTCCACAGCTGGGCCTAAATGGCGGCCCTGCCCCGCCAGCAGCCCCCTAGGCACCTCCACCTGGATGTCCGGGGGCCTCTCCAACTCCACATGCCCAGGCCACCTGCCCCTCTGTGGTTCAGTCCCTCTAGTCCCTCCAGCTAAAGCCCCGGGGGCGCTCCTTCCACAGCCTCTCTCCTTTCATCCTTGAGAGCAGCGCAATCCTCAGGCGCTGACCCAGACTCGGGCCACCTTTCCCCCACTGCTCGCATGTGACCCCAACCAAGCCCCCGCCGGCCGCCCCATGCCCAGTGCGGCATCACACCCCACGGTACCCCACAGCTGGGAGGTCCCGTTCTAGGACCTCTAGGCTGCGTGGGTCCCATGGAAGCACAGCCCCCACCTGTCACCTCGTCCCCCTGTCCTCACTGTGCTGGACAGACCCCTGCCTCACTGCCCGCATCCCTCCCCCATCACCTCTGCAGCCACCCAGATGGACAGCGGGTACAGGCAGCCACAGCCGGGGCTGGTGACCAGCAGCAGCCACCCGCACAGAGGACACTGGATGGACGGGGGGCAGCAGGCCAAGTGCCTCCAATTTGCGCAGACCACCTCCCTGGGGTCAGGCTCACCCCCACCCCACACTCGTCCCTCTCCACTTCTGCTCTGATGCCACCCCAACTCCCAGCAGGGAACGCATCACAGAGGGCTCGCACTGCCATCCGCTGTGCCCACGGCTTAGCACAGGCTGTAGGCAGAACACAAGCAGTGTGCGGATGCAGCCCCTTTTCACGGACCAGGAGAGCCACCATCTCACATCTTGCTGGGGCCCCTGCTGCTGTGTCTACGAGGGACATGCAGCGCTTTTCCTTCTGGAGTCCTTGCTTCGCAGTGGCGTGGACACAGCGGCAGGAAGGCGAGCGCCTTGTCCGCGTCTGGGGGCACGCAGTGTTGCTCTGCGCTCTGCTCTGGGTGTCAGTGGGAATGTTCTTAAGGTCACACCTACGTCCTCCAAGAGATGTGGAGCTATTTAGGCTTTCCCTTTCTTCCCCAGTCAGTTCTGAAAATTCACGTCTTTTGAGAAATTTTTCTGGCTCATCTTGGTTATAAAATCTCAATTTATTATCTTAAGAACCACAATATTTCCTAATTAGTGTCTTCCTGTTGGATCTGGAGGCCTGGTCTCTCTCTCTTGTTCCTTTTTTGTTTCTATTACTAGTTCATGTTTTATTAATGAATGAATTTCATCCTCTCTGTACACTCTCTCTCACCTTCCTTCGTGGCTGGCTTCTTAGGCGCCCTGTAAGATGCTGTGAGGTGGCCCTGCTCCCTCTTCCAGGGCCACTCTCACTGTATCTGCGGCCCTCCTCGTTTCATTTTCTACCGGTTCCTCCTGTTTATGGTGGCACGGGTGGTCTGTGCCAGATTCCCTGTCATGCTACGAGTGGGTCTCTCCATGAGGTTCTTGATTGCAAGGAGCAGTGTGGAGATGGCCTTTCTCCAGACGTCTGCATGGCCCTGACCGCCTTGCCCTGACCAATGGGCACCCCTCAGGCCCCCCAAAAAGGGATAATAGATCACGACCAAGAGGATTTCATCCCAGGAGCCCAGGGTGGCCTAACACTCAGAAAACAATGAATGAAATTCTTGTATTAACAGAATAAATTTTAAGAGGAGAAAACACTCTCTGTAAACTTTACAGGAAATGCATTTAATAAAACTTGATGGGTATTTATCATAAAAACTCCAGGAAAACCAGAACAAAGAAGGGAACATGTTCAGCAGGACAGAGACTCTAACGGACCCCCAGGACTCAAGGCAGAGTCACGGGCGTCTCTGCGTCACCGCAGCCAACACCCACAAAGTGAAATGTGCACAATGACACTTTGTATAACTGTACAAACGCACGGGACGGGCAATGATAAATTGCGTACAACACACACAAGACCCGCACACCAACCGCATAGGGAACTGTGGGGAGAAATGGAAGAACATATAAACCAGAGAAATCCTGACCATATTCACGGGTTGGAAAACTCAAGACTGTCGAGAGGTCAGTTCTCCTTAAGTTGGTCTACAGAGTCACGGCAACCTCAATTCAAGTTAAACTGGATGTGAAAACCGCAGAAATCAACAAGCTATTCTAAAACTGATCCTGAGACGCACAGCAGCGGAAGTCTGCAAAACAGCTTCACAGAAAGATGGAAAAGCCGGAGGCGTCCACAGCGGAGGTCAGGACTTACTGCAGAACATCAGTGATCAAGAGAACCGGAGGGGGGCGGGGGCCGTCAGGAAGACAGGCACACGGGCTGGGGAACAGAGTAACCCAGAAGGCAGCCACACGTATATCATGAGGGAATTTCTGGAGAAGATGCCAAGGTACCTACAACCGGGAAGGGACAAGCCTTCCGACAGTGTTGGAATGCGTGGATGATCATGCCAAAATCAAGAAAATTAGCCTGGACTCCTGCGCCATGCTGCGTTTCCAGGGGCTCAGGCGGGACACACGGCAGGCGGCCAGCCAGACCCAGGTGGCCCCCAGCCCCCAGTGCTCAGGCAAGCCTGCGGAAGGGGAGCTGCTCGGGCAGGTGGGGTCAGGAGGCCAAGCGAGGGGCAGCGTCGCACACGTGTGACCAGGGCAGGCAGTCCGTGGTCAAAGGAGGGCTGGAGGCTCAGGCCCAAGAGCGAGGAGGAGACACATTTGGGCAGGAAGGCCCAAGGTAAGGTAAGGTGAGGGGTTCCCACGGCCAGCAGCCGTGTCTCTGTGGGGGACGATGGGCCATGGGAACCCCACAGATGTGAGCCCCCCAACGTGGGAAGGAAGCTAGAGAAGGAAGGAGGCCGGAATAAGGAGGAGTCAGCAGAGCAGAGTGGCTCGTGAGCCACACCAGGGAAGACAAAAGCCTGAGAGAGCCCAGTCTTCACAAGCCAGAAGCTTCTAGAAGGAGGGAGTATCTCAACAATAAAAAGACAAAAAGCCCAATTCAAAAATGGGCAAGGGGTCTGAACAGACACACCTCTGGAGAGAGAAACGGCCAACGTGACCGTGAAAAGACACTCACGCAACATCGCTATCGGGAACACAAGTCAGCTGCCCAGCAAGACGGCGTCTCGTCCCCACAGACCTGCGGTCACAGCCGGGTAACAATGTCGGGGCCTGGAGCACTCGAAGCCTCACGCACTGCTGGGAGGAAGGGGGGCAGTGCGGCCACCGTGGAAGACAGCCTGGCGGCGTCCCAGCGTCAGACACAGCTAAGGCCAGCAACCCCACGTCCAGGCATCCGTGCAAGAACGCCGTCCACGCACAAGCTCCCAGCAGCCTTCCTCAGGACGACCGAGAAGGGACGATGCCAAGGCCATCCGTGACAAACAGCACATCTTTGCCCGCTTGCGCTGACATAACAAGCACCACGAGCTGGACGCCTTGGAGACAGCAGACATGTCTGCTTCCAGGCGGGAGTCTGGGCGTCCGGGATCGGGGTGCTGGCAGCTTCCACGTGTGACGAGGGCCACCTTCCAGTCCACAGGCGGCACCTCCCCACGGCTGCCTCGCAGGAAGGGCTCACGGAGCTCTCCGGGTCCTTCCACAAGAGCGCTTGCCCCATTGTGAGGGCTGCGCCCACAGGACCCGCTCCCCTACTGAGGCCCCGCCTCCTGGCCCCGTCCCCCAGGGGTTAGGTCTCCGCCTACGGATTGGGAGGAACATGCACACGGGGATACTCCTCAGCCGTACACGGGAGTGAAGGGCAGGTCCAGGCCACGACGGGGACCACCGCGATGGGCCCAGTGTCCTCCCAGAGTCACTGGTCCCCTCCCTTCAGCCAGCAC